TTTTCTCATTTTGTTTTAATTAAATGATAACGATTAAGACAAAAAAGTGAAGGTAAAATTGAAGATAAAGAAGAATACGAGAACAATCAGAAATACATAGGAATTAGGGTAACTGAAAGGGTAAGCAAATTTATTGAAATTTTTCGTTAGGAATAGAAATAAATTCAGTCAAACATAATTTAGTTATCGAAATTTATTGAATCATTGATATTTATAGAGATCCAGATATCGAAATATTCAAATTGAGCAATGTTTGTTGGGTTGTCGAAATTTATAGACACAGAAAATTAGTTGTCGAAATTTACGGATAGTTATGGAGCTATACAAATTTTTGGGATTATCGATTCCAAAGCAGGAGATTTTGCTAAATTAATCTAAAGAAGTGAAGAAATTTAACACTGGAATAGTCAAACTAAGTCAAAGCAGGATGGAGTAGCTTTTAAGCAAATTTTTTTGCACATTTTTAAGCAAGAATGGCCCAATGTGCACTGCCCAGGTACCTATATCAAAGTTATGTGTGAATATTTTATATCCTCACTTTTTCTAGGAAAAAAATCCACCTGTTGAATTGCTGCTGTTATTGTTGTGGTTGGTCTGTATGTTGAAATTTTGCATATACCTACACGCACATGCACATACTTACATATGGATTGCTGCATATATATATAAAAAAAAAACACCCAACTAGCTTTTCGAAAAGTTTGACGAACTCGCTGCTACACATATTCGCTTAATTCTGTGATGGTTTATAGTTACAATTATGGCTTTTACTATTTATTTATTTTTAGTTAATTTTGTCTTACTTCAGTTTCGATTTCAGCTGTCTATTTTCACGCTTTTATTTTAGTAATGCATCTATTTTATTTTTTTCGCATTATTTTTATAGGTTTTTAATGTTGTAAAAATAATTCCATTATTAAATTGCAACACCCCCGCCGCAGCGTATAAATTTCATATAAATTTCATTTGGATTTTCTTAAGCTCCCCACTTTTGTTGTACACACATACAACACATTTCATATGCGGGCCAATTGCATGGCTCAGTGCTCAGTGCTTTAATTTACTTCAATAAATGCTCCATATAAATGTGGTTTTTCTTTGACTGCGGCGTGAAATTTAGTTGTAAGCAATATGCAAATGCGTTGATCGAATTTCATTTAATTAGTTCATTAGTATCATAGAAATGGTGAATTACAAAATTTTAGTAATCGCTTACAGGTAGTTAAGTTTGATTGTGATATGCTCGCATGAAATGGAGGCCTGCTTTAAATTATTAACGCAAAAAGTGTGTCAATATTATCATTACACAGATCTTGTGCAGTTGAAAAAATCATGTATCAGATGAATATTTTAGTGGCTTTTCGCCATTTATTTTCGTTATGAGGCTTTGCAGCAAAATAGCTAGCTCAGCAATACTTGCAACTTTACCAAAGTTTGATCAATTAGTGTGCCATTGTTTCCCTAAAAAATGTCTATAATTTCATGGTGGCAGATTCCTTATACTAGGAGTTTAGACTGTGCAAGAACTAAAGTATTGAATGCTATACAATCACCCATAACGTATGCCGACATCTCCCCCTATTCAAGATCGTTGGAGAAGCCAAGTCGATGCATGCGAGAGCGTAGGTGGTTAGGTAGCCCTTAAGCAATTTGGATATTGGCTCTATTTCTTACTGCGTTCTGAGTTTATCCTCTCTTTGAAAATGAGTTTCAAGGAAGACCAAATGAGTCGGCGAAACAGTTCCGACCCTACGATGGACTTTCCCTAGCCAGTTCGTCAGTGAGCTCGTTACCACATAGTATTTCTTGTTTCTTGTTGACAAGAGTTGAATAGTTTCAAAGTATTTTTTGACGATTTTGGAGGTGATCGTGCTATTGAATAGAGTTGTCTGAAAAGATAGCTAAGAGGATGCTTTTCCAATCCCTTTCAAGGTTCAATCTAGGACATGATGTTGTTGCTCGTACCTCGCCCCAAAATAATCGCCACAAAATGTCAAAAGAAAGTTTGGCGCCGAGTCCATAAATACCTGCCCCTGTCATACTTTCCATGTTTGATCCGTCTGTGAATCAGTGTGCATGTAAAATTATAATACATATATGTATATATATATATATATATGTATTGATTAATATTTCGTAGTAGAAATTGATTTCAAAAATGGACGTAAAAATTGTTTTCTAATGTGTCCAAAATAATGGACAAATCCAAGGAAAGAGCAAATGTTTGGAATTTTATAAAATGCAAAAAAAAAAAAATTATTTAAAGATAGGGCAAATTTTTTTATCTACAATTAAAAAAAA